TTTTCAAGTGGTTTGTAGTTATGGCAGCATATTCAATTTGCCAACTTGTGTAAACACCGCTGCTGAATAAGTACCACTAGTTCTAGTTTCTATGATAACAAAGACTGTCGAATAAAAATTATTCCTGAATAAATGTTGCAGTAACTAATCCACTCTACTGTGGTTATTTGACTATCGTCATAAAACAGCCTGTTTTCATTACTGGCACAACCATCTTGAGCTAACGCAGGAATTCGTCTCATTTCATTATAGGTATCTGATACCTGAATGAAACCTGACATTTTGACATGCTTTTGTAATATAGCTCATTTTCAACAGTTATCCCAATATTTTTCTACGCCAGTATATTCATCAAACAGTGGTAATTAGGTTATCTAATCAACATTGTTCGATGGTTTGCATTATGAAACCGTGCTTTGAATTACTGCAATATAAATAAATATCCTATGCACACTTACTTTTCATGATCTGAAGTTAGTTTTTTCAAAAAACAAAAAATACGATTAGTCTCTGAATTGAAATACCTGGGTTTCTCTGGAAGATTTTTTGACATTACTCATTGATTTTTTCGGAGAGATATCATCTATATGCATTCTGACGACTTTATTAAGAAATGAGAAGTTGAATACTTATACTTACTCTTCCTACGGAGTTATGATGGGAATTGTCAATAAAACTTTCCTCACAGAAACCCAGGCTAGGCTCTGGAATTCATTGCTTGAGGAAGTATTCCCAACAACATAATCTCCAGAAGTTCAAGAAAAATTCCAATACCTACTTCCTGTCCCTATCCTCCCTAGGAACGCACGATGTTCTTTGATCATTATAGGGATTTCCTTTCGTGCGCTCCAAGCGATGAAAACAATATAAATATATTCAGAATCTCATCGATCATTTTGTTTTTTCGAAATAAACCAATTTTAGGTCGTGAAAAGTGGGTATGGAGAATACTTTTTTCACCCACAAGACATGGCTCTATCGATTCGGACGATCGAAACCATCGAACAATAATTGAACACGGGCACCATGACAGAGAACAGAAGTGAAAATGAATGCAATCTGTAGGTTTATCAGCCCCAAAACAAATGAAAAACTATCGCGAAATGAGCCGAATTACGATTGTCGAATGATTGCCTAATAACCGTCATACATGTGAATTGCTATAGTTATTCGTCAACTTACAATGCCAGAAACCCAAACAGCTATGATTATTGGGACAAACATTATCTCAATTCACCAATTAGCATAATTCACAAAACGAGCTATGTTAATAAATAATCTAAATAGTCTAGAATTTATAAAATTCTCATAATGTCATAACACACCTGCGTTATGATGGTAGCAAATGTCCATTCAAGGGTATTACGAATGATTTAAGAAAGCGATTTTTATAATTACAGAATGGAGAAAATACTGTTGTAATAATAAAACGATCACGAATAGAAGATTTCTTTATAATGGTTCATCAATCACAGCTGGTAGATATTTTTAATATCCCGTTTCCCTCAGTGTGGTTAGGTGAAAAACTTGGTGAAAAATGGCAGGAAATCGTTTATATTTTCATATAGATTATTTTCATATGTTCGAATATATTGAAAATAGGTGAGTATTCAACCATTGATTTGAGATATAGTTGTTTGAATTGTCTATTTTTTAGAGAAATGCTCAGGATACATTTCCGTCATATACGTGACTCCAGCAATCCATTTGAGTTATCAATTAAAAATTTCAGAAACTTATTCGATTAAACAAAATGTCAGCCCTTCATTTGATTGAAGAACTGTCTGGTATAGTAGATGAACCCACAGGGAAAGGATACTATTCCTTTCCATCTTCAGGTAAGTAGGTCAGTTGATCAAGAGATTAATTGATTGATATAATTTTAATACATGTTCAGATATTTGCAAGTCTTTCATTCTTTGGACATGGAAGTTACCAGACCACTGTTGGGGAGGATATTAATCTCGGAATAAGTCAACCTGGTATAAGCAGGATAATCAATAAAATTTGCATACTGATTTCAACTCATTTGCTGCAAAATTATATTGAATATCCAACTAGTGCAGAGGAAATTGCAAATGCTAAGGATGAGTAATTATAATACCAATAGCTATAGTGCATCAGGTTTTGAATTCTGATAACTGAAATATTTTAGATTCATGAATGGAGATTTGAATTTTCCCCATGCGATTGGTGCAATAAATTGCACACTGTGGCGTAACCTCACAAAAAGAAATTAAAGCCTCAATGCACGGTGGCCTTTATAGTCGTAGAGCGGTCGTGGGATTTTGAGAAAATTATTTTCTATTTGTTTTTCCACAAGATGTTATCTGTAAAGCAAACTATGGGCGCATCTCAGAGTTAACTGAGAAGAATTAGGATAGGACAGAACAAAAATATCAAACTATATACCTTTTGAAAACCATGCATATAATTACCTAAATGATGTTAGAAGTGCTTACACGCAGTGTGTAATAAGTCAATGTTTACTATAATTAATGTTAATATAATGACTAATTGTAATGATTAAATTGAAATTCATAGATTACTTAAGGTTACAATGTTAGTGAAATTTTATCAATGAATAGGTGAGTATTTCAACTCTATTCTAGGCAATGCCAAGAGATGTAATGTTAGTGAAATTAAATCTATGACAGCCTCACTGTGGCTAGCAAGTGATAATAATAAGTCACCAGGTGACTGGGAATAATAAATGTAAACAAAATACCTAGGTTTCCTACGAAAGGAAATAGCAGCTGTTATTTCGTTTCTCACAAATAGGAGAACACTTATTACAAGGAAAACAAAGTAAGACACTGGTGAAGATCTATGTCTTCAACTCCTCAATGGTAATCAAAAATTACATCACAAGTAGTACTCACTGAGGGTCATCCATCATTATACTCTTACTCAAAATTAACCATTAATCGTAAGGGTGGCTTCCTCATACTCCATAAATTGCATCAGCAAATGGTATCCAGTTCATTCATATACATGGTATCCAAACATTAACAAAACAGGCAGCAAACACCAACAGCTGACGAACACTTGTTATCGCCCCATTAGCAATAATATGGGTTGAAATTTGGGAGGCATCGAACCATGAATCCCAATTGTGAAATATACATCACATTTAACCAAAACATCCACAACAGGTTAGGTTATCATTAAATTGCCGCCATGACGACATGTCATGTGCGCAAGTGCATACTGCACATCATCACCAAATATGGCAAAAATTGCAAATGGCTTCAGTAGAAACCAAAAAGGCCTGAAAATAATATCACGTTGATCGATGTGTTTTCTTATACTTTTATAATTATGTGAACATTATCAAATGACTCAAAATTAACCTTATATCATATTGTACATACCTATAGGTTTTAATCGGCCTATTTCCAATATAATTGGCATTTCGAAATAATGTAAAAATTTACTTGTTGCTCTGCCAAGCGCCAGAGAACGATCTCCGTCAATCTTGCTCGAATTTCGGCGGGGTCAAGATTACACCGTCGAACTTAGACACAGAACACTAAGAAATCAGAGCGCTGGGTCTAATTGAGTGCTATGTAAATTGGCCTTATCTAGTGACTTTGTATTTAACGTGACATCGATTGTCCACACTGTTTTCATAACACAGGTGAGGCAATCATATAGAAGTGAATTCTCTATGTTGATATTTTAATTGTTATAAATAGAAGAAGAAGTCTTCAGTTTGTAGACAAAAATAAGAATAAGATAAACACATCCACAAGTGAAACTCTTAGCAGGAAAGCATATCAGCATCTTCACGTATGACTCGATCACAATCACAGGAAGAAGACGAAAGTTATATACAGGTTGTCCTGACAAATTAATGTTGAACTATTATTTCTCTGTTGAAAATACGATGCATACTGAGTGTTACTCCGAACTGATTGCACTGAAAAAAAATGAATAGTAGAAGGGTCACTTAAGTTTATGTACGGTTCAAGTGGACCGTTACAACACACATTGCAATTGTTCCACCTAAGATTGATGATCCTATCCATCTAGCTGTAGCCTATATTAATAGTAAAGGCTATCATAGTGTGAATGTACAAGCTGTAGGTACCTATTAAATTGAAGTTGATGTTTTTTCATAGGAATATAGTTGTGACCATAAATGTGAACAGTAATGCATAGAATTTAAGATTTTTGATGCAAAGCTGATGATAACGAATATTAATGCCCTATATCCAGGAGCTGTGCATGATTCCGCAATTTGGAATTCATCAACATTCCAAGCATATTTGAGACGGAAATATGTGGAAGGGAGAAGAAGTTGTTATCTTCTTGGCGATTCTGGCTATCCCATCCAGCCTTGGATGTTGACACCAATTTTAAATGCAGCACCAAATACCCCAGAAGATCATTACAATAATTTACACCGTCAAGCAAGAAACGTAGTAGACAGAGGCGTTGGGGTCTTGAAAGCACGATTCAGATGTCTTAGAAAAGATATAAACATGATGTTGCAGCTCGAATAATTTGTTCATGTGCAGTTTTACATAACATCTGTAGAATTTATAATTTGCCAGATGAAGAATATGCTGATGATAGAGATGATATTATAGAAGATGAAGATGATAATCAACTGCCTCAAAATGGAGAGAACAGAATAAATAATGGTGAACAAATATAAATTCATAAGAATACATTCTGATTACAAAAAAAATATTCCTGCATCAAAAGTCTGAACATCACCTGATCAACTTTTTTTCAATATCAGATATTGATGAACTCACTAGCCGAAGGCAGATATGTCAGAAGACAAATAGTGAACCTCATGCAAGAAATGTTAATTTTCTAGAATAATTGTCATTTATTTATAAAACAAAATAAAATATGAATTCTAAAAGTAAATTTGATTACAGGAACCAAATATACCTATGAACAAAAACATATAAATTCCAAAAATAATAAATAAGTAACAAATCACATTGCAAATTAGGTAGGTACTAAAAAGTATTGTAAAGAAGTTAGCTGCTTTCCTTATTCAAGGCTGAAGCAATTTTTGATATAGCATCAGCAAGCTGAGAAATAGCAGCAGCCATTTCCTTGACTGCTAAGACCATTTGTTGAGTGCTTTCACTGTATAGAATGGCTGAATTTTCCAACTTTTTGGAAGAATTGATTTTTTTCTTCCTGTGTGCAATTTTTGGAATAGCACCTATAAAAAAATCAGCTAGTCAATAATATCTGACATTTTTTTATCAACAAAGACCTTCCAGACAAATTGAATCCTAATTATCACCACAGAAATAAGGGTAATTTTGCACTTATCATGCGATGGCATTCGAATGACTTTCACCCGTCATCTTTTCGGATTTGAAGTGATATTCATCCTTCTTCGAACGGTTTTTGACTTTAATAGTTTGAAACTAGCTGTTGTATGATATGAAACTTCAGAACAAATCGAAATTATACCATTGAAGCGTTCATCCAAACAATTTCAAGCTACAAATTCGAGTTGTTGGGAATATCAGAATTCACTTCTACCGCAGGGGAGTTCAAAACATCAGTTCACCGCCAACTTTTCGAATTTAAATTCACTTTTCTTTCTCAGGCCATTAGATCATTATTCGAACAAAATGGATCTCATGTTGAGTGACTATATTTGTTTGGTGAAGAAAAGAGCTGATTTCATAAGATTCCTGATAGATATCGGAATATTGGCAGGGACTGTGGAATGCCAAAAGTGCAGAAGTGTGTGCCCATTGATGAAAGACTCCCTGTGGTATCGATGCACCAAGAATGTAGTGGTACGGAGGGGGCACAGTTTAAGGAAAAAAAGTTGCTCTTTCAGCAGAAGTGCTAGAATGAATACATTTTTCGAGGGGCACTTGGGGCTGGAAAAAACAGCACTATTTGTGGGGTATTTTTTGTTATTGCCGCACCCTCGTTGCGCATTTCTTATGCAAGAATTGCAAATTTCGGCACATAGTGTGGTAGATTGGAGCAATTTTTGCAGGGAGGTAAATATCTGATAAAAATGAGTATATTCAAGATTTTCAGCATGCGCACATATTTATGTTCTTAGGTTTGCATCGAGTGGTGCCTAACAAATTCTACCCTACTAGGCGGAGTTGGGAAGGTCGTCGAGATTGACGAGGCGAAGTTTGGAAAGAGAAAATTCAACAGGGGACGTTTAATCGAGGGCCAGTGGATTTTTGGGGGCATAGAGAGAGGTTCCTCCAACATGTTTTTGGTGCCAGTGCCCAATAGGACGGCCGAAACATTGATCGAATTGATCAGACGGTGGATTAGGCCAGGAACAACTATTATATCTGATTGCTGGAGAGCCTATGCTAATCTGAACCAAGAAGGTTTTGAACATTTGACAGTGAACCACAGTGTTAATTTTGTGGATCCTGAAACAGGTTTGTTTCATGAAATATTTTCCTGTCAATGAGTTTATAATTCAAATTTTAGGTGCCCATACGCAGAACATAGAGAGAACCTGGAGGGAGGTAAGGTCTGGTATCCCTCGTTATGGTAGGAAAAAAGACCACATTGTAGGCTACCTTGCTGAGCACATTTTCAAAAGACATTTTAGCTTCGAGAAAAGAATTTATAATTTTTATTTAACAACAAGGAACATGTATGGAAATTAATATATTTTCAGTTTTTCAATTAAATTACAAATAGAAACATGTCGAAAGTGCTTTATAATTATTGATTTTCTCAACTATAAGATCTTATATGCCATTTTTTTCCTAGGTACACCATTAAGGTCTTCATAAATGTTATGCATCATGCATTTACTGAAATACCTAGCTCTTCTCTCAAACCCTTTTTCTTCATCTGAGAGATATTTATAAATATCTAATATTTCTTTATAATTCGAATGCATCAAATTCATGCCCTTCACCCTTACTAAAAATCTATATAAATCATTATGGTCTCGCACACCGTTTAAAAATAAAAAAAATAACATATTTTTATTCTTTCTCCATATTTGAATGTATTTGTGGCCAAACTCTGCATTATATAATTTGGCCAGGATTCACATTCAACGATATCCTATATTAGCCATAGATAATCATCTAAAATTAATTAAAATTAATCATTCAATGTGAAATTATTCAGACGAACTCGAGTTACTCACTTGGCTTATAGCTGGGTAAATATGCTAATTTCAATTTAATTTGAAGATTCATACTGCTTAAAAGTTTGTTTGAAGTTGATGTGTAAAAAAGAATAAAGAAGGAAGAATACTTTTCAAAATTCAAAATGATAGCGGGTGAAACTCTTGAAAATTTGACAATTGACATCTCGTATTTTGTAGCGTATGTCTGAAATGCTTCGTATGTCTTAGATTTGATAATTGAGGCCGTCAGCTGATGTGATTGTTTAGTTCATTAAATATGGAAAAATTGATTGAATTGATTTTAATAAATAGAATGTGTCATTAAAGTACAACGAGAGTATGTTAAGTGTCCAGTGATGAAAAAAGAAGGGCAAGTAGTTGCAAATGCGATCCAAGATAGTTGGCAAATACGAGGTGAAATTTCGAACTTTTTCGTGAAATATCTCGAAAAATAGTGGTTTGTTCACATTTTCATTGTGAAATTCGTGTTTTTCAGACGAAAATACGTAAGTAGCAAAAAAAAATTTCGAAAAAAAAACCATCGCATGATAAGTGCAAAATTACCCAAATAAGTAATACCTGATTAGTGCAAAGGCTCTGGAATGTCTAATATTTCTGATTCCATAATTTCCCTTTGAATATCAGTCTCAGGCACTGAAATATTACATTCATTTTCTGTTACTTCAATAATCACATTTTCCACCAATTCTGCATCTGGATCTACTTCTGCTGGTGCACCAGGACACCCAATGATGTTGATCCATCCAAAAAAAGCCATCAGTCTATTTTCAAGATCAGTGAGATCCTTACAAATGTATCCCCCACCACCTGTCTGCATAATAGCACTGTAGTTCAGGCGAGCTTTTTTTGTCTTAGATTTCCATTCATACAGATACTGAAGAAAAAAATTGATAACTATTAGTACATTTGCATTATATAAAAAATTAACACCACAATATACTGAATTGCATGATAATGAACATACGGTTTTCCACTGTTTTTTGGCTTTTCGGGCACCATTTTCTACACTATTCAAGAGAGCTGTAAGTTCTTCCCATTTATCATTCAGTTCAGTAGGATCCAATGGATGTGTTTTCCCAATAATTAACACTTTATTTTTTCCCAAAAAGTTTATAATTAATTCCATCTGGGTTTTAGTAGTTTTTTCATTTCTTTGGGACATTTTTCAAATGACTCATTGTACTAATAATTATAAAAATAAATTAACAGCACTTTAGCGCCTTCCTCAAAGATTCAAAGAAACTAATTTTTGAGGTTAGATAATTCTTCTTCTTGTGTACATAAATGTGTGTAAATATCATGAAATACAGTGTTGTCAGCTCTAAAGGTACCTCTCTTCATAGCAATATTGCAGGAACAAAAGTAATAACCAATCTTGCTATAAATGTCAGATCAGAATACAGAATAGCATAGCCATATTGTTATAAGTAAGTCAGGAAGAAAGCAAGATAACTAAGACGGCAAGCATTATAGCAATATGCAAACAGATTCGACCCGAATATCATTATATTCTGACCATGTACTTAGAGGTACATAGCTATGCAATAAAAGATAACCAGAGACAACTCTGTAGTCTCTGAAGATAACATCATACCTATCCATGTTTCATTCATCCTAGGGTTTCCAGAGATTTGGTCCATAAACTCAAAACGGAAAATGAGGCTTCTGAGTAGAGTATTACAAAAAAAATACAGGCTTCAAGAGAATAAGTAGTGAGAAATGTATTTCAGCATTTTTATGGTTTCTTAGGAATGAATCCATCTTATTTCGAGTTGTGGCAGATAGATAAAATTTATCTATTAGCACTCTCCATGGAATAGTAGAAAATGTGGCAATATTCCTGTTGAATAGGTCTAACAATTTCATTGTCTGGCCATCAGCTCAAGAGTGTGAAAACATTGCTGCAGAATTTGCAGAGATTAGTTTTCCCGATATGCCATTGGTTGTATATATGGCTTACATAATTATAAGGATCGATATACCTACAGATGATGCGGAATCATATTTGAACAGGAAAAATAGCATTCCATCCAGGTGAATAACTGATTTGCATAGGTATCAAGATAGGTGGATTCAAGGGGCATGAAACTAAAATTAATTCATCAATACCATACATGGATCAATGCATTTTTAGATTCCAACCCAACAAAATTTTATCTCTTTGAAAAGTACCAACTTTTCTCTTGATATTATATCTATGCTACTATGTTTCTTCTACATCACATTTTTTACAGGTACAACTTGCAAGCCATTCGTAGGTGCTCAACCATTCACGCCTAAAATACCTTCCATTTTCAGGAACATCCTTTTTGAAGTTATAATTATCTGAAGGAATACATGGACTGGATAGGAACAAATATTTTTGTGAATCACTCACTTGTTGCAATCCTATATAATTTCCTAAGTCATTAGTTCCTTCAGTTATTTCCTCTTGCTCTTCCCGATTTGTGCTATAAGAGCACGAGGCTACCAAGGCATCTGCTACAACCATACGCTCTCGCTCTTCTTGAAAAATGGTGAGGTCTTCATCAGTTGACTTATTTCTTTTCTTTGGTGGACTTCCACTATCTGGATTATCCTCGAAATCGCATGAGGATTTCATATTGAAAAAATTCCGGATATCCATAATTTTGCTATATTTGTGCAATAGTACCTACAAATGGTACGATTTAAAAAGCAATAACTAACTAAGATAATATGGTTACCTTCACATTACTGTACCGAGAAGGTGTAGATCTTTCGCATCCATAGCGCACAACAATCCACCGCACAGGCCACAGACAGATACGAGACTGACCACTAAAAAAATACTGATACTTGATAGGACACTTGTTCGCGTATCGCGTGGTGGGGTAGCTCGAGTCAAGTGCTTGCGTTCCGAGTGTTTGTAACGCCTTAGGAAGTCACATGGTTGCGACGGCCGACGGGCAAATGCGAAGTTCACCGAACGACTAATGAACTTACATTTGGGATGATCGCAGCTGATATTTGATATTTCTGCTATTAAAGTTTATCGCGTCTTGACTGAAAAAGCTAAAATCCAGGGGGGGGGGGCGGCCGCCCCCCCTTGCCCTCAAGTAGCGGCGCCCATGGGTACAAGTTGTTTGTGACAGCTCTAAAAAAATGAGAGATGTATTCATCGGATATCAAGGAAGTGTCCATGATGCCAGAGTTTTCAGGACTAGTCCTTTATATCAAAATATGGCAAAAAATTGCAGAGATTATGTTCTTCTCGGTGACAGTGCCTACCCTTTGCCTGATAAATTCATTAGCACCCTACAAAATAATGAGAATTCGTCAAATGCTCGAACAAAATACAATAAAAAATTTAGCCATTGCAGGGTTTTCATAGAGCATACAATAGGGCTTCTCAAGCAGAGATTTCGACAACTGTTCCATCTGAAGAGCAGGAAAATCAATTCATTTGCCATTTCATAAGAGCCTGCTGTGTCTTGCACAATAATATGTGCATGGAGGATCTGATTTTCAATGAGTCACACCATAACCTAAATAAAGAACATATTGAAGAGGAGATGATTGAAAATGAAGTAAATGATGACAGAAATTATAGAAATTATATAGCTCCAATGTTTGATATTTGAACATTTGTATGCAATTAAATATAGATATTTTCATTTTGATGTAATGTCAATAAAATAGTCAGTATATCTTCAGATTGGATTTTTATACATTATAGGTGAAGCTGTGGATAAAAAATTCAGGTACTTATTAGAATAAACAAAGAATTCACACACCTGTAATGAAAGTGGAGAAAATGGGACAACAATGAATGAACAAACAAAAAAAAGTAATAGTAAAAACTTTCATGAAAGGACTAGCATGAATGGCAATACATAGAACTAATAAAAAATACCATTGAAATCACAGCACATTAAACTACCTATTGCAGAAAAACGGGGGTATGGGTTAGCTGGATTAATTTTGAAGACGTTGTGAAGTATCTACATATATATATATATATTCTACCTGAATCTGTTGATTGTCCAATTTCTTGAATTTGATAATCTGAAAATATACGAGGTATCAATATTCTGCTGATGAGAATTTGATATCCGAAATGAGTTTTATGCAAGTGAGGTCATATAACCTGTTTGTGAGATATAATTCCTATATCACTGTTATAAATGATTTTTTGGAAGTTCTAAGCCCATCAAGATCAGAGTTCATACAAATATACTTCTCCTATACATTCCAATTTTCATTTCAATACTGAACGTATTGGTGAGTTCTATTTTTATATCATGATACATCATATTATTCTATTCAATTTGAAAGATGATGTCAAATCTCAATTTCAGAGGATTTTCATTTTCCATGCTCTCTTCTTGGATGTTCAACAGATTTTTTTTTGTTCATAATTATATCTGAGAATATTCCTTTTGAATACAAAATATGTTTTTCAACCTCGAGGTTAACCTTCAATATAGGTAGTCGAGTTGAAACAAACAACCAATTACCTGAATCTCCTGTACATTGCTGACTATGTGATTGGAGGCTGTATGGTTTACTTGGTGGTGGATTATATGGATCATCAGTGAATTCTGGTAGTGGAGGTGATAAACAGCTAGATTTATGTCCTGTGACAATAATCATTCAGCATTGAAAAAAATGTATGTAAAATTCTATTGAATGTGTGTTAAAATTTGATACATAATGAATAATATATCTTGAAAAGCATTAGAGATATTGATATATAGAAAGTTTACACCTTGCTAACAATCATAATATGGGTATTTTTATAGATTTCAACATCCTTTGTATACAAGTAACGAATAAGAATGTACTTCAAAAACTATGTGAGTACAAGCTCAATCATAGATGAGTAAAAAAATTAGGAAAAATTCAATTCTAGGAGATAAAATCTGAGAGAAAGAAAATGAAAGAAAACTGTGAATTGTAAATCAAAATTTCATTCAGTTAAGACACTATCAGTGATTTGAATGATGGGGCAAAAGATAGAATTTAGGGAAAATTTCAATTTTCTCTGGAGGAAAATATCAAAATTCCAAAATTCATATTTTTCAATTTAGTCAACATCCCAATAATACTCTAATAATTGAATGAAAAATACTAAAAAAACATGTACCTACCTTTCAGATGCTTGGACAAAAATTTTCTCCTCTGTCCTCTGCCCATTTCATCTTCTGAAGATGTTTCTTTTGTGCATCTCTTTCTGGCATCAGCAAGATTGTCTTAAATGTAAGAATCCTTATAAACAATATTGTATAATTTTCTTAACAAACTATAATTCTGAAGTTCATAAAATTTCATAGATGAAAACCCAAAGTCATCTCCACAATGAAGAGTTTTTATGTATTCTTAGATTAAAATCAAAACAATGCCTAATACATTTATTAAAAATGAATACATAAAGTAAATAAAGGGTTCCCTCACAAGTATGATGACTATAAACTATTTAACTATCCTCTCTAAATGTCCTACACAAAACCCAAAGTCCAAGTCCAATATTATCTACGCCCAAAAACACTAACGTTCCAGTCAATAATAGGTGTCGAGGTCGAGGGTAAATTCTCACTCACCAGAGTATCTCCTGCCGTACAACATACAGACCACGTACAATAGTTAGCAGCTCAATGCACAATTTCAGCCCAAATGAGGCCGTATCAGCAATACAATTTCCCAACAAACTTGGCCGTACTCGCCGGCAAACAGCTTCGATGGCGTACCCTTCCTGCGCCACGATCAACCGTCGAGTCCCCGTCTTTTTTGTACGATACACCAGCCTCCACTTCCCTCTCTCGAACGTTCTCGAACACCCATCATCGCGGCACTCGCACTTAGCAACAGCCGCACATATCAGTCTATTTTTAGAACATCCATAGGCGGGTCAATAGGCGCACTACATCACCCCCCTATTAAATTTACAAGTTCTAATACACAACTAAATATAACCTGTACTACTTAACTTTAATCATCCCTTCTTCTTTGAATACTTAACTCAATATAGACTTATAGTACCTAACTCTAATTTTAAATCCATCATAGAACTAGAAAATTTAATTCTCATCGAGAACATCTCGTTCAGTACTGGGCCAGCGATATGGTTTCAAATTCACCACATTTTGTCTATTCAAAACTTGCCCCTGTTCATTCCCAATAACATAATCATTTGGCCCCGCTATATCCAAAACATAGTAAGGACCTTCATACAATAAAAAAAACTTTCTAATCTCCGAATTCTCTGAGGATGACAACGGATGCTGCCTTACTAACACGGCATCACCTTTTTTAAAAGAGATAGGCTGACTAACGGATTTTTTCAATAATCTTTTCTCAGCTTTCGTTTTTAAACGATCCGAAGCTAATTCCCAAATTTGCTTAAAATTCACAGAGACATCTTTATCTTGTGGTAATGGGTATTTTATAATTTTATCTATATTATTTTTTTCTCTTTCTCCATAATGTAAAAATATCGGTGCAAAACCAGTACTGGAATGAACAATTTCATTCAAACATTGTTCCACATCATTCAACTTATAAGCCCACTTTGTATGAGACGAAAAACAGAATGATCTCAACATTCGTCCTATCTCTCGATTAGCACGTTCTGTCATATTACCCTGAGGAAAGTATGCAGATGTGAATTTAACCTTGATATCTTTACCCCTTAAAGTATCTTCCCAAAGATTTGATCGAAATTGCGAGCCATTATCGCTCAGAATCGCTCGAGGAACACCCACATCAACAAAATAATTTTTCTCTAATCTATTAAGAATGGCTCCAGCCGTCGCGCGTTTCAAACTATACAACTTTATTAACCTTGAAAAGGCATCAATCACCACTAACAACTGTGTAACACCTCCTCTTGACTTAGGCAATGGCCCCATTAAGTCAAGACAAACTAATTGCCCTGGTTTTTCTACCACAACCGTATTCACCGTTCCTTGGCATTTTTTTGAACTCTTTGATTTTTGACATAAATCACAAGATGTCACAATCTTTCGCACATATTTTCTCATTTTTGGAAAATAAAACCAATTTTTCATATACTCATAGGTCTTTTTATACCCCACATGACCCAAATCACTATGCTGTTGCTTTACTAAATCTAAAATTTGTAATTTAGGCACGCATAACTGATATCCGGGATAATTCAACGATCCTTTCCGAAATACTAATCCATTATATATTTCAAACCACTTCACAATTCGATTATCCTTCTCATCTAAATTTTTCTGACTATCAACGTCCTTATATCTTTCAAGAATTTCCCTTAAACGTGACATCCACTGATCCTGAACCTGATCAAGTTCTAAATGTTTGAAATTTTCTTTAACCTGCTGAAATTCCTTAGTTAATTTCAACATAAACACATTAACATCACAAAACTGAAGAGGTATATCTATCGATTTATAAGGCAATGGTTTTCTAGACAGAGCATCTGCCAAAAGATTATCACTCCCTTTACAATACTCTATGCGAAAGTTATACTCCTGTAAATAGAGAGCCCACCTAGCTAACCTTGAATTCCCTAACTTAATGCTCATTAGAAACGACAGAGCTTTATGATCAGTAATTATTACTAGATCATATCCTAATACCAAAGTTCTCCATTGTTTCAATGCAAACAAAAAGGCTAAAGCTTCCTTTTCTGTAACATTATATCTTAGTTCCGGCCCTCTTAATGTTCTACTAGCAAAAGCTAATATTCTACGATCTCCCGACTCTTCATCTATTTGAAATAAACACGACCCTATACCGAATCCAGAACTATCCGATTGAATATAGAAGGTCCCTGACAAATTTGGATGCATAATAACTACAGCTTCCAAAAATGCTTTTTTTATTTTCTCAAACGCCTCCTTTTCCTCATTTCCCCACTGCCATATCACTTTTTTTTGTAGCAAGCGTAATAGAGGAACAGTCAAATCTGCAAAATTTTCACAAAATCTCCTCTCGAAATTCACAAACCCTAAAAATCCTCGCAACTCACGAATATTTCGCGGCGCCCCATAATTCTGAATAGCCTCCAACCTCTTTGGATGTATCGAAATGTCATTTGCTGTCACAATATGACCCAAAAACTCTATTTGTTTTTTTGCAAAGAAAGATTTACGCAATTTTATCGTTAAATTCGCATCAGAAAATTTTTGAAACAACGTCTCTAAATGGCGTAAGTGTTCCTCAGGATCCTTAGAATAAATTAGCAAATCATCCACATATATCAATGCAAACTCATTCACTTCAGGCCCTAATACAATATTAACACAACGTACAAAACTCGCAACTGACGTAGCAAGACCAAACGGTAAAACTTTGAAACAATATGTATTATGATCAAACACAAAACCCGTAAACTTTCTATCTTCTTTCCGTATCGGCACCTGCCAATATCCCGCAGTCATATCTACCGTACTTAAAATCTGACTTCTATTAAATTTTGCTAATAATTCCTCGGGATGTGGCGGACTAACCAAATCCTTCATCATCCGCGAATTTAAATAGCGCGCGTCCAAGCAAATTCTAACAGATTTATCCTTTTTCACAACAGTTACTAAAGGAGAAACATATTCAGTCTTACAAGGCTCAATAATATCTAAAGCAATCATTTCCTGTATTTGTGCCCGAACTTGTTCCCTATGAGCGAACGGCACTGGATATGAATACCTACAAAATGGCGAATCGTCTCTCATCTCAATTGTATGCTCATATTTATCCGTACGCCCTGGATTTTCCGAAAATACATTCTCATATTTTTTTAACAACTCCCATAATTTTTCTTTATATTCCTCACCAAAACTTTCCGCCTGTCCTGCTTTATTTTTCAGTTCCTCAGACGAATATTTATGTCTAGCATTATTTGTACTGTCAGTAAGCAAATTCAATGTTATGCCATTTTCCCCTTTCTGTTCAAATTTAAATGGAATTTTCAACAAATTATTCTCATTATTCAAGGTTAACAACAAATTCTCGAAATCCAAATTCACCTTATTGGACAATAACCAATCAGTACCAAAAATAATCTCTTTATTTAAACCTGGAACCACAATACATACTACATCAAACTTCTCATTACCAATCTCCACCGATATTAACACCTGTTCATTAATTTTTTGTTTTTTATTTCCGATAGCCACCGAGATTATTGTATTACTAACAGGCAATTTCGAGAACACATACCCCTTTTCCTTCATCATATCAACAAAACTCTCAGCTACAGCAGATATTTGACTCCCCGAATCTATCAACACTTCAAATTGTTCTCCAAACACACTACATAATATTATTGGCGACACAAACTTCTCTTCTCCAGATTCATCTTCATTATCAGACAACAAAAGTTCATTTTCTATAATGCTAAACTTTGACATCGTTCGTACTGACCGTCTCTGATCCCCTTGATTATCTGCTGAATTATTATTGTCACGCCACTGCTCCGCATTTGCATTTCTCTGACCACCCCCCATATGCCCTGATTCACCGACTCGTCTTTGATTATCATCAACTCGATTATTCCCTTGAAATCCTCGCGATGCTTGACCTTGTCCCCTAGTAGGACCAACAGATTTCTGATTTTCCGTCACAACAAAAGTATTATCTACTTTCCTCAAATATTTTTCTAATTCGTCCATTGTTTTTATACCATTAACAAAAATGCCTCTCTGAATTTCTTGTGAGAAGTGTTGTGTAAACCAGTCCACAAGAACACTTTCTTCAATTTGTTCATTCAGATACATAGCTTTACTAGCCAATTTCAACATATAGTCAGCCATACCTCCCGCTTTATATTGACCATACCTTATTTCATAATATAACTCACGTTCTTCTTTTACCCCCCAATACCTATTTCGAAAAGCCCCCAAAAATACCCCAAAATCAACAAAACACCCTTCTTTAGATGCGGCCCAATCAGCAGCAGACCCTCTCAAACATTCAATAGCAAGATTTATTCGAGCAGTCTCAGGTACCCCTGCTTCATCCATTAATCGTTTAATTTTCTTTTCAAAATATACTGGATGCACTGAACCCCCCGGTACAAAAACAAGGCCGTTGCCCCCCATATCTTTCCATACTGATAAATAATTTTTACTCACAACAACATTTGAACACGCCGCTCCACTATCAACTTTATTTTTATCCAAAATAACGTCACTCAAAGCTTTTTTATTTTCACTGACCTCTGTTGCTAACCGTGCCACACTATCTTGCATTTTTATAACCCCCTCTGTCAAAACTTTCATTAAATCAGTAAGCTCAAGAGAAGAATCATTACTAGAATCATTCAAATTAGAAACCAAATCGCCAGCACCAGCTTTATGATTACTTTCCTTCTTCTTCGGCATTTCTTTATATTATGATTTACCTCATCTACCTAGCTAATAGATACCTATCATTCCTGCTTCCCTAACCACAATAAAATCAAATAATTTACAATACACACAAATACTTGCGCCCCGTTGGGTGCCAAATGAAGAGTTTTTATGTATTCTTAGATTAAAATCAAAACAATGCCTAATACATTTATTAAAAATGAATACATAAAGTAAATAAAGGGTTCCCTCACAAGTATGATGACTATAAACTATTTAACTATCCTCTCTAAATGTCCTACACAAAACCCAAAGTCCAAGTCCAATATTATCTACGCCCAAAAACACTAAGTTCCAGTCAATAATAGGTGTCGAGGTCTAGGGTAAATTCTCACTCACCAGAGTATCTCCTGCCGTACAACATACAGACCACGTACAATAGTTAGCAGCTCAATGCACAATTTCAGCCCAAATGAGGCCGTATCAGCAATACAATTTCCCAACAAACTTGGCCGTACTCGCCGGCAAACAGCTTCGATGGCGTACCCTTC